AAATCTGATCTGTGATGCGACTGTCGTTCGGCACGCTGCATTGAGCAGCTGCGTTCAGTTTTTAATTGTAGTGTCTGTTCTTTTACTGAACTAAATGATTTTTATTACTATAAAAAATCAAAACGACGGTGGGGGTCGGTGCTGCGGTGGGCAAGTGACGTAACCGGTGTTGCGGCTTAACAACAGTATCACCGTCAGCACAGTCGCGGCAAGCCTAATCTACGGTCGTTTAAACTTTTAAATCAGCAATGTCATCCGGGTGTTGGTATTCTGATTTGACACATACACTGGTGCCAAAACATATTTAGACTATTTAGCAGCCCACAAAATGTTATTGCATTGGATGAAAAAATGCAATAAAAGGCCAGAGATTGTTGTGTTTATATTGTTTACTGTAGCTGGTATGTTCATGACTCTCTTAGGCTGATGATACATGGGGCAACTTTTTGAGCAATGTTGCTTGGGCACTTTCCTATTGAGGATTGGTAACAAATGTCTATCTGGATACTTTAGATCGGTCGTGGGCCCTGTGTCTCACCTGGTTGCCCATTGACGGCAACATTGCTCAAAAAGTTGCCCAGTGTATCATCAGCCTTACTCTCTGCTGGCTCTACAGGATGCTGGTGTTCTCTCTGTGTCCTTTAGTCCATGTCCAGATGTAATCTACATCTTGGCTTGTGCCCGTTGCTTTCTAGCTGCTCTTGTTTACCTTCCCAGAACCACTGCAAGCTTGTGTTTGCACAGTCACATTGCTGCTTTTGGTGTGTTCACTGAGAGTGTTTACACTGAGTATTCTTTGAAGTACGATGGCGAAAAGATATAGCCAGTTTCCTTGGGGTTTTGTGAGAAAATACTTGAGTCTGTTTTTTGAGTTCAGAATCTTTCTCTCCTTCACAGTTGTTTCCTGTGGGATGCCCCTTGCGCCAGTGAATGGCACTGTCATCGGGCAGGACTTCACTCTCGGCTCTAGAGTCACATTCTCTTGTAATCCTGGTTTCCGATTGGCCAACGCTCAGCCGGTGTCAACAGTTTGTCAAGAGTCTGGGAGGTGGAGCCCGATGGAGACCCGCCCTCGCTGCGTCCGTGAGTTCATGAGCACCACAATCAGTTTGTTCTTATTTACATAAAAGACTGATAAAAGAAGGAATCTGATTCAATGTCTTTTGACAGTTTTATGCCTCTGAGAAATAAAATAATCATGTAAATGGATATTAATATGTCGCTCTGATGTTCTGTAGCCATCACCTGTGGGCATCCAGGCACCCCAGCTAATGGTGTGACTCAGGGAACGCAGTTTAACCTTAACGACATTGTGCGTTTCACCTGCAACCCTGGTTATGTTCTCCAAGGTGCAATCAAGTCTCACTGTCAGCCCAACAGCCAGTGGAGCAACGCTCTGCCCAAGTGTAAAAGTAAGTCCTGTGGGTTAAAGATGACTGGCACAGATCTAGACAATAACAGTCTATGCAAATATTTGTGTAATCCAAGATGTTCAATTAAGAGTTGCCATATATAAGCCAAAATGTGACATATAGAGCACTGCTGTTTAAAATGTATTCTTCTGATGGCAAAGCTAAATTTCATAATCCTTCAGAAATCATTCTAATATGCTGACTTGGTGCTCAAGAAACATTTCTTATCGTCACTGTTGAAAAGAGTTGTGTGCTTAATATTTTTGGAAACTGAAACAATTACACAAGTTATGAATCACTCTGTTATTTTAAATTTGACTCTTTGAAGTTGTAACATCCATCCCCTCAATCCGTACCTCTCTTTAGATTATAAATGTGTGTTTACTCTGACTGAGGAAGTTGAAGTGGTCTGATCATATCAGACACGGTCTCCTCTCCATCATGGTCCATCATTAGCACTGAGCGTGGGAAGACGCCCGTTTAATGGCACAAAAGGAGCCGGTAAAAAATGCTATGAGCTCGGAGTTGCATCAATCAGGCCTCTGCACAGCCCCGCTAATCAGCACCAATTTGTGTCTGAGTGAGCCACTTCTATCTCCAAAATGGCCTCCTAAACCACACAGATAAGTTGGTTAGACTTATATCTGCAGATAATTGAACCACTCCCCTCAAAAATTGCCACTGGCCAGCGGGAGCATCAATTTTAAAATCGAATTACGCCAAGCACAAATAAACAGATTGTTTTCCTTAGTTCTTTTATTTTTCTTCTTTTCTTTCTTTCTATTGATTTCATTTCTGTATTTATTTCTAACTTAACCATTTACATTTTAGTTAAAAATCAAGCTGGTATATTTAAGTTATAAATGGGTGCATTATAGAAAATGGCTTAGGCTGGCTCTACTAAGAGCTATTAAAGGCATTAGCATGCATTACTACTCTGGAAAGTCTAATTCCATTGAGAAGCTGTCCCTAACGGAGAGATTTTAAGGGAACATTGCTGGCCTGGAACAGCAGAAGGGACACTCTGGAGTCAAATAAGGCAGCCTGTTCTCTTAATTTGGCTTCACTGTTTTTGGCTTCATAGAATGTCGCCAGAAGTGTTTTCAGCTAAATTTGTTAGAATCAGTTGGAGTACTCTAAGAACAAAACATAGGTTAACATGATGGCCCATCTTATTGCCTTGGCCTGCTCAGTTGCACTTGCATTTTAATGTATATTTTGTTTTCTTTAAAGTCCCCATGAAATAATCAATAAATAAAATAAATAAATAAAGTTTTTTAGGTGTTAGTATCAATATGTTAGTCTTAAGGTATCCTTATCTATAAGGCAGCGTGCTCCAAAACAAAATTCGCATTTAGAAGATATAAGCATTCAAAGCTTGCAGTTCGTCACTTCCGCCAAAACGGCTAAACGATTTCACGAACGATTCAAACAGTGTAAATATGCTTTCCATTGAGGAAAAAAAGAAGTCTGGTTTTGCACTGTGTCACGCTAACCATCGCACCGCACACACACTCTGCTCCATTCATGAGACATGATAGCATGGAGCGGATCACATGCGCGAGTCGGCGCAGACCACAAAATGTATCGGAGCTATTTGAATTCTACACAGAATGCTATATTTTATCGCAATATGGATGAGATTGTGGCTGGCATACCCTGTCAAATGCGGCTTTACGGAGCTCAACGGCTCTGAACGGCTCTAGCCCAAGCTGTGATATAAACGAACGCTATTGGCTATTTTTAAAAGGGGCGGGGCTACTTGATATGTCCCGCCCTGTCTTCCTGTTTCAGTTAAAATGACGTCAACACAGAGTAACGCTGCGTGTTTCTAAGCATTTCAGGGTACCTTTAAGTGCATGAACAAATACAAATTACTGCTGATTTTTGTTTTAGGTTATCCATCATGCCCTTTTGTCCTTCTGTGCTCTCTTTCTCTGTTTTTTTTTTTTTGTTGTTGTTTGTTTTTTGGCTCATAACTAACACACCACCGATATGTCTCCATCTCTCCTCTCTCTAAGCCCAGTTCATGTCCTCTGCCAGACCGTGCACCAGCCATTAATGAAGCAACTGTTTGTGTTTATGTGGTTTCAAATATTTACAGAAGTTTTTCTAGAAGCCTTTAATCTTCTTCGTAAATCATCTTTTTCTGTGGCATTTTGTGTGTTGAAAATTGGTTGGATATCAGGAAAAATGAACTGTGCCCACTGGCAGCATCATTTATTTCACACAATTCACTAAAGAAATTGCACAAATCAATTAATGGCACAAGCAAGGCCAAAAATGAATGCTTAATGTGGTTTGCATGCCACAGTTTCCCATCATTTAGATTGACTTGTTGTGGAGGATGCAGCAGACTTTACTAGGATTGAACAGGAACAGGAAATATGGATATAACACTTTTCTCCATCATGTGATCATGTGATGTGATCATCATATGATGAATTACTGTCACCAAGATAGAAATGTACACAAAAGTCTCTTTTAAATTAAATTAATTATGCCAAAAAAAGAGTCTCTTGTGCTCACCAAGGCTGCATTTATTTGATAAAAAATATTGAAAATTGGTTGGATATCAGGAAAAATGAACTGTGCCCACTGGCAGCATCATTTATTTCACACAATTCACTAAAGAAATTGCACAAATCAATTAATGGCACAAGCAAGGCCAAAAATGAATGCTTAATGTGGTTTGCATGTCACAGTTTCCCATCATTTAGATTGACTTGTTGTGGAGGATGCAGCAGACTTTACTAGGATTGAACAGGAACAGGAAATATGGATATAACACTTTTCTCCATCATGTGATCATGTGATGTGATCATCATATGATGAATTACTGTCACCAAGATAGAAATGTACACAAAAGTCTCTTTTAAATTAAATTAATTATGCCAAAAAAAGAGTCTCTTGTGCTCACCAAGGCTGCATTTATTTGATCAAAAATACAGTTAAAACAGTAATATTATGAAATATTATATATTTTAAAATGTAATTTATTCCTGTGATATCAAAGCTGAATTTTTAGCAGCCATTGCTTCAGTCTTCTGTCACATGATCCTTCAGAAATCATTATAATATGCTGAATTGGTGCTCAAAAAATGTATTTCTTATCAATGTTGAAAATAGTTGTGTGCTTAATATTTTTGTGGAATCAGTGATACATTTTTTTTCAAGATTCTTTGATGAATAGAAAAGAAAAACCTAAAAGTCTTTACTGTCACTTTTGATCCATTTAACGCATCCTTGCAGAATTAAAGTATTAATCACTTTCAAAAAAATTAAAAAGAAATATTCTTACTGACCCCAAACTTTTGAATTGCAGTGTGCTTCTCAACAGTATTCTTCATAACCTTCTTTCTCTCTGTCTGTCTCTCTCTGCGTCTCAGTTGTGAACTGCACTGATCCGGGACATGTTGAAAATGGTGTCAGAGAGGTCCTGCCCAGCGGGCCTCATCGCTACAGTTTCCAGACCGCAGTTTCTTACAGCTGTAACCCTGGATACTACCTGCTGGGCACCAGCACTCTGAGCTGTCAAGGCGACGGCACATGGGACCGATCCCTACCCAAGTGCCTCTGTAAGTCATCTTAACCTGATAAACCATTACTCAAATAATTGTGTAACCTACTTTACTCTGAATTGTGTATATTGATATTGTGCACTGTAGGTAAGATTTGCCCTTTTTTCTGTCTGCCGCAGTGGTTCTGTGTGATCGTCCCAGCATGCCTCCATATGCACAGATCTCGGGGGACAGACGCACAGTGGGCTCTGTTATCCGCTTCAGCTGCATCGGCCAGCGAAGCATTGTGGGCAATACCACCCGCATGTGCCAGCTGGATGGCCAGTGGAGCGGCTCCCTGCCACATTGCTCCGGTACTTGAAATCTTTTCCCTATTCAACATGCTCATCTGTCTGTTTTTATTGTGATTTTTATTTAGTACTTTATTGGTTTAAAAAAAAAAAAATTTAGAAATATGTTTCATTGTAATATTGTTATATTTACACAAATTAGACTACCTACTTTCATTTCAAAACATCTTTTGTGATTGAGTCCTTATTTTGTCCTGAGCAGTGAAGCTGCCAAAAACCTTCAGGTACTGCAGGTCCTTTGGTTTCCCAGCAGGCTCTGCACATTTGTGTTCTTCCTCACAGTGACTATATGCTGAGATCCAGCTTTGCAACTCAGGACAAAGCAAGGTCTTATACACAGCTATCATAAAGTTTACTGATGTTCAATCAGGCAGCATTATTAAGGACTTTTGAACAAGGTAATTTGTGTAAATTGAGTTAAATATGTTGTCTTGTGGAATATATGCAAATACGTACATGCCATGTCTTCAGTACTAAATCAAAGTATTAATAACACAGTTGTTATTATCTTATTTTTCTTATATTTAATTAACCCTCCTATGTTTTTGTAGATATGAAAGAGACTCACAGATTCTCTCACAAGGGAATGTAAACTTATGAGAAAAGATGGGAATATTTTTGCAAACTTTATAAATAATAAATATACATTTAATATATAAATACATGTAAATAAAAATATATTTTTATTTATTTATTATTTATTTATATTATTCCCTATTGAGTCACCTGACCATTACACAAACAGGGACTTTAATAACATCACACTCTAAATAAATAGACATTTATATGGATTCGATCCTCCCTTTGCAACAATAACAGCTTCTATTCTTATAGCTGGCTCTCTACAAGATTTTGTTTCTGTGGGATTTTTTGCCAATTCATTCAGTAGGGTATCTATGAGGTCAGGCACTGATGTTGGACAAGTCCTGTCTCACAGTCTCCATTTCAGTTAATCCCAAAGGTGTTCGGTGGGATTAAGGACAAGGCTCTGTGTAGGCCAGTCAAGTTCTTCCACACCAAACTCATCCAACCATGTCTTATGAACCTTGCCTTGTGCACTGGGGCACAGTCAAGCTGGATTAGAAAAGGGCCTTCCCCAAACTGTTTCCACAAAGTTGGAAGCATAGCATTGTTCAAAATGTCTTGGTATGCTGAAGCATTAATTAAGATTTATTTTCACTGGAAGTAATGGGCCTAGCTCAACCCCTGAAAAACAGCCCCATAACATTATCTCTCCACCAAACTTTACAGTTGGCACAGTGCAGTCAAGCAGGTAATGTTCTCAAACCCACACTCACCCATCAGACTGCCAAACAGAGAAGTGTGATTCATCACTCCACAGAACACGTTTCCACTGCTCCAGAGTCCAGTGGTGGCGTGCTTTACACCACTCCATCTGACGCTTACAATTGTACTTGTGATGTGAGGCTTGCATGCAGTTCCTCGGTTATTGAAACCCATTCCATGAAACTCCCACCGCACAGTTTCTGTGCTAATATTAATGCCAGTGGAAATTTGGAGCTCTTCAGCTATGGAATCAGCAGAGCACTGGCAACTTTACGCACCATGCTCCTCAGCACTCGGTGACCCCGCTCTGTGATATTCTAATGGTCTTCCGCTTTGTGGCCGAGTTGGCGTTTAAGAACTCCCGAGTTATTAAACGCTTCCACTTTCCAATATTACCACTTACCGTTGACAATGGAATATCTAACAAGGATGAAATTTCACAAACTGACTCATTACAAAGGCGGCATCCTATCACAGTACCACACTTGAATTCACTGAGCTCTTCAGAGCATCCTATTTTTTCACAAATGCAGACTGCATGGCTAGGTGCTTGATTTTTATACACCTGTGACAATGGGTCTGGTTGAAACACCTGTATCCTGAATTCAATAATTAAGAGGTGTGTCCCAATACTTTTTTCCATATAATGTGTATGTGTAGTGGGGCATGGGCTCCATTTTTCACATTTGAGATAACACCATCTCTAAGGTCTCGTGTGAGATGATGGATCAATGGCCTCAGGATTACAGCTCAGATCAGTGGGTGGTAATACAATATTGCCATCTAGGCAGTGTCCAGAAGGGCAAAGTGTGTGTCCCCTCATAAATTGGTTTAATCTTCTCATATTGGGCTTGGCGACACAGACTCTCACATGCCTGCCAGGTAATGAGCTGCCCTGCTCCACTATAAACACATCAGTCCATTGCAGCCCTCAGATATGCCAGAAGAGCTTCATCCCTGGCTGTAAAACCACTGACAGGTTAATGTCACAATTCATAACTTTCATATTTCTCAAAAGATTTCTTTCAAATAATTTTTTTTTCTGTCAAAAAGTGCATTATTTTTTTGCAAGACGTGGTTAATAACTGGCCTGTCAGTGTGAGTTTCTGAAGACGATATTCTGTATTTAAATATTAGCATTTCTTTAATATTTACTGCGCCCTTCACCAAAAGACTCACCGTTCATTTTGAATTTGTGATTGTTTGTTGAGCATTACCAGAGGATATATAGGGAATATAAAGATCATTTGTAAATGCATCAGTGGATCAAAATAAGAGGATTTGCTGAAGAACATCATGGAGCGCACACGTCTGCATTATGAGCGGGGAAATTAAGGGACATTTTCTGTCCCTTGTGCTTTCTTATCCAAAGTAAATTATCACCTAAACCAAGCCGCTGTGATGCCTCTTTTTTCATCTCCTTTGCCAGGTCTACCGCGGAGAGTTGTTCAATAAATATGAATGAAATTACTCATCATCTTGTGTAAATCTCAGTTAACCTCTTTAACTAAAAACCTAATGTAATAGAGAGCAAGTTTGAAAGTCTTCCGGGGCATCTAGATAGTAGTTTTCCAGTCATTCGCTGTCAAAGGATCTAAATTGGACTGGTTTGAGGGTATTTTCATTGTACATAGACACAACACCAAGGGTTTGAAACCCATGGTACTTGCGGTGTATAGACAACTCCATTGATTTTAACGGGAGTGATTTAGTTTTATTGAGTTTCTCCACACCTCATGTGTCCATTGGTTAAACAAGCTGTGTCTAAAGTCGCTCCCTTATCCCTGTATTGTACATTTAGCACTTATTTTATTTTTACTTTAAATGAATTTTATTTTTAGGTTATTTTTGTATATTTTTTTATTATTATTAAATCATGCAATTTTAAAAGCCAAACCAAAATGAAGAAAGTGAAAATTGATATTATGGGCCTGATTTAAGATATACTTATTGTTAACACTGCTATATGAAACTACATGTAAAAAAATAAGTGTCCAAGTGCTCATATGTATGTGTGTTTTTTCAGGTGATTCTGCTGGAATGTGTGGAGACCCTGGCGTTCCAGTGCACGGGATCCGTCTGGGAGAGGAGTTCTCCGTAGGGAGCATTGTACGATTCAGCTGTGAGCCTGGCTACGTTCTGAAGGGCTCCTCTGAACGAACCTGCCTGGCTAACGGGAGCTGGGTGGGCATCCAGCCTGAGTGCCATGGTAAGAAAAATTAAACCTGGGTGGTCTGCAGAAGAATGCGGCTGAACGCAGATGATCAATCTCTTCTGTCTCTAGAAGATTCTGCTACACCCAAAATTGTAGCCTATGCAAATTTCTCAGCAAGTTATTTCATAGCAGTTTGATTCTGCACACAAATTCCCTTGCGTATAAACTTGTGCAAAACAAAAGAGGGAGATGGAGACAGACAGACTGAGGTAGAAAGTGGTTGGCGAGAAGTTATTTTCATCTTGATTTGTTCCCGTATGTAGCTTTAAAGCGGCTCAGTACACCTGGGGTGTACACATGTTACACTTCCACTCGTACCGTGTTTCCTTTCTCTCAACATGCTGAACACTATCCAGTCAAGATGCCCAAACGACTGTGCCAGCCCTGCTGGTCCCCTGGCCACTGGGCTGCTGTGTTTGCACTCTCTCCTTCTCTCTTAAACAGCATTATTATTCTGCTCGTGTTGGTTTGTGTAAAGTGCCTGCAGAGTCAGGCTGACAACCCAAAGAAAGGTATGTCAGAGAAGCAGAAAACCCAGGTTAATTACCCATGTGGAGACGCCTGTCATTTTTTTTTACCCTGCTTTTTTAACACCAGCCATTTGTTTTATCTCACATCTTGTTAAGTCACCCCTAAACATTTAAGATATTTTTAGTTTTGCATCTCCTACAAAGCACACTGTCATCTCAGTCCCTTCCTACCTCCCAAATGCTTGGGGGTTGTGCGTTTGAAATGTGTGTGCTTGTGTGTCTGCCTAAGTTTGTGTTTCTCTTATTGATTTGACCCTTGGGCTATTGTTATCCATGCCAGTTCAGCAAACTGGTGGCTTAAAAGTTGGATTTGCAGAAAATGCTGACGTTTAAAGAGAACAAATCAATAACTGCCTAAAACCCCTCTCATAAATTTACATCCTGAATACAACATAAAAGCTCATCGTCTGAAAGTGAAAGGGGAAATCAAGATGACTTTTTTCGTTTATGTCCTCATCAAAAATGTTTGATGTCCTAACATTTGCTTATATAAGGAAATAGACCGTTCTTTGCAGAATTGGAGTGCTTTATATTAATGTGATATAGCATATAGTGGTAGTCAACTGGTGAAACGTGATGCAAAAAATAAAAGAAAGCAGGGAAAAACACCCTACATTCAAATACTATTTTTGCTATCCAAACTATGCAAATATCACACAAAGCCAAAATAAATAGGCTCATTCACTTTTAAAATTGAGCATTTTTTCTCCAATTGACATCAAAGGTTCTCTATCCGGTGAAACATTATTTTGGCACAAATGCATCCTCTTCTTGCTAGAAAATACACCAAACATTATGCCGACCACAATGCGTGGTGAATTATTGCCACCCAAAACATCATACCATTCAAATTTAGGTTTGTCTAATAATCATATTTGGTACTGTGTTGGGTCACCACTTGATTTCCAATTTAAATGTGTATCCCGATGCAAAATCTGAGCCAAAGGACACTGGGGTATGTAATAATAACAGATGATAACAGGTTTGCTCTTTGTTGTTTTAAGCTCAATATTCACCACTCAAGTGCTCTGTTTTCATATTGGCAAGTCTCCAGTGCTCAAACCTCTAGCCCATATTGGTGGAGTTCCTGGTTGTGAGTGTGTGCCCACCTGCTCTTTATTGGCACACACCCATGAATAAGCTCCATCTGCCCTGTCCTGGGGCAGAGGATTGTCTAATGTATGAAATCTCCTGCAGTAAATGTATTAATTAAACGCTAAATTAACAAATAACTGTCCAGGTCAGAGGAGGGGCATGTCCTATGATTCGTGTAGTTGCCTAGTAGTGTTTAAGCCTCCCTTGCACCTAGAATTCATGTTCTACGCTGACCATGTATCATTGTCACCTTGCATCCCATCTGATGTTCTCTTGTGGTCTTTTGCAGTGGTCTCCTGTGGCAACCCTGGAACTCCTCGCAACGCCATGATCCAGTTCCACGATGGACTTGTGTTTTCCCGCTCTGTCACCTACTCCTGCAGAGAAGGCTACTACTCCACTGGCCTGCTCACTCGTCATTGTACAGTCAATGGCACTTGGACCGGGGACATGCCGGAATGCACAGGTGCCCCATCAACACCTCAACAGGAGTTTAGATAGATCAGACTTCCATTTTTTTTAAAGCTAGCATCACGAAAGGTACGGTCAGACTTGCCATTGTTTGGCGAATTTTCGTGAAATCAAGTAATTTTAGTAGGAATCCATGTGATTGGGAATTTAACACAAAGGCGAATGATTTCCTCATGCAAATTTAACAAGCTAAAGTTGGTCACAAGGATTTAATGCCTTGACCAACAGACCAACAGTTTCAAAGTGACTGTGTGTGAACAGTGCTTCATATATCACTACTCTATTGACAGTAGACAATAGACAATTGAACTTTTTGCTGAAATTTTGTTAATGTGACCACACCTTACAGTTTTGGGTAAGACTTGAAGACCCCTTGAAATCAAAGTTTTGTGGCTAGAAGTCCATCAATAATATATACTAGTTAAACTAAGTTGACAAAAGTAGCAAATATACACATTTTAAATGTATAGTCCTTTTCCGGGGGAATACAAACCAGAAATATTGATGACTCATCCTACATGCAATATTTGTACATTTGTATTCAATACAATATTTTCTAGAATGACAACATCCTTTCCCCCAATGATACTGTACCTACCACTGAATAGCATTAGCATGTAGCAATTCACTATTCATCCTATCCCTCTTCCCCAATGGCTGATCAAAAAGTTAGCATGCTAGCTGAAAATCATATTCCCTCTAATCAAAAGAGCTTTTTTTTAAAGCCAGTTAGCACTGTGCTAAGCTGTTAGCTAGGTACTCAAAGGCTAACTGAAATGTTATCGTTAGCTTTGCAGTTGTTCACCTGTCAACAAAGACTAGCTCCTAGCAAACAAATTGCCGAGGATAAAGTAAGCATTTATTCTGCAGGATTATGAAGAGAAAGGATCATTTACCTCATTTGCACACATTTGTCTTGGCAAGTATTTTAGTATTAAAACTTGTTTAGCAAATGTAGGAGCTTCGACTTATTAATGATTTTTATTTGCTTAAAAGTAAACGGTTGTCGCTGCCCATTTGCATCTCTCTGAGTGACACCATGGTCATACACCATCTCAGCAAATCACAGTTCTGAGTTGGAAAGTTTCCATGTTCCAAGACTAACTAGAAGTGGCTTTCTTTTGCAATTTCCTAAATAGCAAGTTGGAAATTCCCACTTTCCGAGTTGAATGGAATGCTGGATAAGTCGACCACTCTCATGGTGTCTTTTCATAGGGTCTCTAAGTGGCTTTAGAAAGAGACTGTTTGATTCTCTTACGCTAAACTGCTCTGTATAGTACAGCTCTCAGTGGCTGAGCTCTTGAGGAATCCAGAGGCTGGATTTGAATTGGTTTTGTTCGCATGAAGCTTTTCAATGCATTGTGAGACAGGAATTAATAATGAGGCACAGTGTTCTCCATTATGCCGGCCCTGGACACAAGCTGATCAGGGACGTCTACATAGCAGCCCTATGTTGGAGAGATAGAGAGTAGCCCTGTCCCCCTCTTGGCAGCCACCCGAGTGACTTGCCATGCTCATAAAAACACAATGCTCACTGTTCAGGCTCGGAGCAAATGGTGGTCACGTGCAAACATTACAGCTCCAGACACATTGGTGTCTTTGGCACAGAGCGGGTGCCGGTGGCCTCCGACTACAGGAAGTGACTAGAGGAAAGAGCCTCCCAAAGCTGATGCCTAAAACAGTTCATTAATTTAAAGGCACCACCAAGTGTGATAAAACGTCTTGTTGCTTCCAGTTTATGACCCTTTTAATATGAAAATGCTTCTGCCTAAATTTATCTGTTTCAATGAAACGGCTAATTATAAAATAGTTCCAAATCATCAGAATTTTGGCACACTTGTCTTCACTTGTCATTCAGCCATGTACTTCCTCTTATTGCACCACAAATGGCTTTCAGCATTCCTTTGACTTTCACTTTACTCTCTCTGCCCACTTCCAGTCATTAACTGTGGAGATCCTGGAGTGCCAGCTAATGGTATCAGACTGGGCATTGACTTCACGTACGGCCACACTGTGAGCTTCCAGTGTTCACCGGGCTTCACTATAGATGCTGATCGTGCCTCCACACTCATCTGCACCAAGGATCGCACATGGAACAGCACCAAGCCAGTTTGCAAAGGTTTGAGTCCACCTCTTGTGAATGGAAGCTTCCTGTATACTTCCAAATGATTGGTATCTTGCGTGATTTAATTTAATTTATTTTTTTATTTTTTATTTTATTTTTCAACATGACATATTGTCTATGTTTTCTTGCAGCCATTGTGTGTGGAGCACCTCTCAGCATCCCGAATGGTCAGGTTGTGGGGTCTGACTTCCAATGGGGGTCCAGCATTAGTTATAGCTGTAATCAGGGTTACCAGCTTTCCCTTCCCACTATCCTCACCTGCCAGGGCACAGGAAACTGGAGTGGCGAACGGCCTCAGTGTTTTCGTAAGTGTGAATTTTTCTGAAGCCTTAAAATAGAATTTGAGTTTTACCAGAAATGTTCATAAGCATTTAAATCCACATATAACATTTTTAACTGGATGTCTCAAAATTTTGGCTGTAAGTTTTGTGTGATGATGTTAAAACCTTATAGTATAATATTCTCCTCAATGAATTTCTTTTTCTCTGCAGCTGTATTTTGTGGAGATCCAGGGATACCAGCCCAGGGCAAGCGAGAAGACCGAGGGTTCACATACCTGTCCTCTGTTTCATTCTCATGTTACCCGCCTTTGATCCTGGTCGGCTCTGCTCGCCGATACTGCCAATATGATGGAACCTGGAGTGGAACCCAGCCGTCTTGCATAGGTCAGCTGATGTATTCATGCTGTCCTCACATTAAAGAAAGAAAGAAAAAAAGAAAGAAAACAGTTCTGACAAATTACTATATTGCAAAACGGTAGTTTTGAATAGCAATTGGGCTGGTTTTATTTCGCAACCTGGCAACCCTGCACATTTCCATTCAAAAGCTAATTTATTTTTTTATTTTTATTTTTTTAAAGAACCACCTTTCTCCCCAAGGCTACATTAATTTGATCATAAATACAGTAAAAAACAGTAATATTGTGAAATATTTTGCAATTTAAAAGAAGTGTCTATCTATCTATCTATCTATCTATATATATATATATATATATATATCTAAAACAGATCCCAGTCACACCAGCTGTGCAGATCCTGGCACTCCTCTCTTTGGCCACCAGAACAACTCTCAAGGCTATCAGGTGCTAATCACATCAAACCAAGACTGTTATCAATTCATCTGGAACACATTTTTTTTCTTGTCATTTATTGACTATTTGTGTGTTTATATCAACAGATTGGTAGTTCAGTATACTACAGTTGCAGAAAGGGTCACCTCCTTCTGGGTTCCATCTCTCGGACCTGTTTGCCCAACCTCATCTGGAGTGGCATGCAGCCTGAGTGCATCGGTTAGCCGCAATCTTGCAAACATATTAGCCTGATTTATCTGTTACTATACTTTTTTGTTTTCAAATGCATTTTTAAAAATAATTGTAAAATAATTTCTAGTGATTAATAATGTAGAGCAGTGGTTCTCAAACCTGTCCTGGAGTACCCCAGCCCTGCACATTTTGTATGTCTCCCTCATCTATCACACCTGATTCAACTCGTCAGCTCATTAGTGGAGACTGCAAGACCTGAAGTGGGTGTGTCAGATATAGGGAGACATACAAACACGTGCAGTGCTGGGGGTACTTCATGGAGAGGTTTGAGAACCGCTGATGTAGAGCAACCTTTTCTGATTTAATTGAATTTGTATGGTTATATGGTTTTTGTTTGTTTGTTTGTTTTTCCACAATACACCCTCCACAATATAAGATATTCTCTCTTATTTCTCTCCTCAGCTCATCACTGTAATCAGCCGGAGCTCCCCGCACAGGCAGATGTAGGTGCTATAGAGCTGCCATCTCTGGGTTATACGCTCATCTACACCTGTCAGTCTGGTTTCTACCTTGCTGGAGGGTCTGAACACCGCACCTGCAGGGCTGATGGCAGCTGGACAGGGAAACCTCCATTGTGTGCACGTATGTACAAAATACTTTATAAATATGTGTGTGAGCCCACAAACCAAAATGTACTGAACTAAAATGTGCTTTTACATGCAATTTTTTTTTTCTTTTAAAAAATGTAAAAGAAATTGATTGATTGGCTTTGAGCATGTTCATACCACATGTGTGTTTTGGTGTAGCCCATCTGCTTGATTTACAGACTTAATGATTTACCGTATTCCACCACTTTGTGATTTTCTTCTCTACAAATGTTGATAAATGGCCACGTCCACCTGTTTCATCTCCACAACTGGCGTGATCGCTGTGCCCAATTCATCATGTTATTGTTGACATTTCATATTACTAGAGCTCTGATTAGCCCAATGGAATGCATTGTTTTGGTTTTGGAAAGCCCAGACTGCTATAAAATATCATCAGATAAACAGTTCCCATACAGCATTTACCATGCCGACTGTGAGCATATAGGGCAGCAATATAAGATTAGCAATTTCCTTTTTACTTTGCTGAAGGAGGATGGCATTAGTCTCAAGTTAAAACCCTAAATACATCACAGTCTAAGAGCTGTTGAAATATGTTGCTGTAATCTTTTATAATAAAGCTATGAAAGCAGGGTTCTGGCCTTTTGAAGTGGAAGGATATTAACAGCACCTGTGGGAGACCAGAGAGGGGCAACATAGTCGTATGACATCTAATAAAGCTGTTTTTCCCCACTGTGTGTGTCCAATCATCTTATAATGTCCTGCAAAGTAGACTTCACAGGGTATTCAGATATAATAAGTAAGATTCCAAATCATACAAAGTCTATATGTTCAGTCCAAATGGCACAGGGAACAAGTGTACATCAATTTATCACTACATAGGAAGGAAAACAAAGTTCAAGGCAGATGCTGCAAATAATGCACAAGATGTGTTAAAGGTACAGTTCCTTTATTATGCCTGTGGGTTACATAACAGAAGATAAACTTCTTCTTCATCCGTAGAACAGTCATTTATTATTATAAACAAACCAAACCACATTTATTTACTTATAAAGCATTGCAACAGTCATTTATTATTAATTGTAATATAATGCATATTATTTTTAGTCATGTAAGCATGTTTATTAGTACTGCTTGTGAAAGGTCCTGTCAGGTGTTTTATGTCTCTTCATCTGACACCATATTTATACTTGTCCTTTAGCTGATAACAGACCAAGCGGAAAAACTGCAGGAACAGTGCAAGAGCCGCCCAACACAAAGCAACCCGGTAAGTTTCACTGTCTACCATAAATTAAAGTAATCTTTTAATGCAAGGCAAGTTAATTAAATATTCCCCTAAAATATTTTAGTCACTTGAATGTATAATACAGTAGCTCTTGTGTTTGTTTCTTTCATTGTGTTCTTCTTTTCTGTGCCTCTATCTCAGTGCCAAGTGGGGTCTTTGCTAAGAACTCTCTTTGGAGGGGTTCATACGAATATCTAGGGAAGAAACAGCCAGCAATGCTTAGCATAACTGCTTTTGAACCATTCAGCAATCGGGTCAATGGCACTCTCATGGACCACAGCGGAGTACAGCTTAATCTGGCTGGTGAGTGTTGTTTTTTTATTATTTTAACCTCACAACACATTTTACCAAACACTCATTTGTGACGCTTCAGCAGCAAGGTAATGGCAATTTTCTGACTTGTACCGTCTCTAGCACTGTGTTTTGTGTTGTCTTAAAGGAAAAGTTGAGCCAAAAATTAAATATCTGTATGTGTTACTTATTCCAATCCATATTTTTATTCCATGGAAGATAAAGGGAGATATTTTGCAGAATGCCTAAAGCCTGGAATGCACTACATGACTTTTATTATCTATTTTCAAACACTAAACATCATACACTTGTTGACTGTAAAAATTTACAGAGGAAAAACTGGACATCATACACTAAATGACTGAGGATCTCACATTACCAAACTCTCAAGGCATTGCAAATAAAACAAACACATGCCTTGTTGCTATGAAGCACGTAACAAATGAAAACGTTTTTTTTTCTTAAATTGGCTCAAAATATCAGTCATGTTTGATATCCTACAAATGGATGGGATCATAGTATGAAGCTACAAATATCTGAGTCTGTAACTGCCATACACTCCACAATTTTCTATAAAGTCTGTCATCTCAAATCTGCAGACTGGCTCTGACTTTCACCAACTAGCGTATGTGTATTTTAAAAACGTTTTTTTTTTTTGTAAACATATTTAAAATGTAATGAAAATGTAAAGTAAATCTTACTAGTCAAATTATTGTTACATTGAGTCATTACAATGAAAATCCATATGAAACGAACACAAATAAAAAAAGTACAAGAACTTGACAATTATGTTTTATTGCGAACACTCGTGCCACCCATCAACACTCCTCTCCATTCTGCAGGTATCTATAAGAAAGAAGAAGCCCAATTGTTGCTGCAGGTGTATCAGATTCGAGGTCCTGTGGAGATCTTTGTTAACAAGTTCAAAATTGACAACTGGGCATTGGATGGACATGTATGTATATTTCTCTTTCCGTAGAATCATTATCCTGACATTTTGAAATGAAGACTCCCTGCAGTGTGAAACGTGGAAGCAATAATCATTGTGATGATTCTACAGATTTTCCACATTGTAATGGATTAGATTCAAATAGATTGTTTGCTTTGAAGATATTAGGCAACCACAGATCAAATATTTGAACCACGTAGATACGATTTAACTTTACCCAGCCATCCAGTTGGCTTATATTTAAGTGGGCTGGTTACTGGGAAAAAGAAGCATCTTACATTTGATTTCAACAGCCGAACTTTAATGTTGATGCAAGTCCTTTCTGCTTCATGGTATGGCTCCATGCAGATGTAGTCTTCAGAAAGTTGTGCTCCAGCTTTGATAGGTGGACGTTTCTGAACCTTTACTGCAACCTGAGTGTGCTCAAAGTGTACTTCAACACTCACAGGCTGATGTAAGGGCACTTGTTTAGGGCCGGACCTTGGACTGCTTATAACTACTGAAACCCTCAACCACACACACACACACACACACACACACACCTTGTCACTCTTGGGGATAGCAGAGAACCGACAAAGTTTTTCTTTTAATTAAAACGTCAGTTAAATCATTGCTGGGTAATCAGGGCCAGACGTCTCTAACCCCCTCCAATGCACTCGGGACAAGCACCTGGGAGAATGTAATTAAAAGTGTGGGCCATGAGTGTGTGGCTCTTGTGTGTGTGTGTGTGTGTGTGTGTGTGTGTTCATGGAAGAGAGAGAGAGATAGAGAAAGCACAAGTGGTAGAGCAGGGGGGAGAAAGCTAGTTTTATATGGATTTGTGTGTGAGAAATTATGGGAAAGTAAATGTCAAACATAAGTAGTCTTTCACATCACTGACACATTTTACCTTTCAGTGGCTCATTTGTGACATTTAGAAAATTCTTTATGCTTACTTCACAGAAACAAACGTGTGTGTGTGTGTGTGTGTGTGTGTGTGTGTGTGTGTTCATGGAAGAGAGAGAGAGATAGAGAAAGCACAAGTGGTAGAGCAGGGGGGAGAAAGCTAGTTTTATATGGATTTGTGTGTGAGAAATTATGGGAAAGTAAATGTCAAACATAAGTAGTCTTTCACATCACTGACACATTTTACCTTTCAGTGGCTCATTTGTGACATTTAGAAAATTCTTTATGCTTACTGTTTTGTACTTTTCTCCACAGGTGTCATACATGCCTTCTTCTGATTCATTTGTTTACCAAGGCTTTGTTCGAGGAAAAGGCTTTGGCCAGTTTGGACTTCAGAGACTGGGTATGTGTGCTTGTCTTACAGGACAGTTAAACCTTATCATTTGTTAAAGGGATAAAATGAAAGTTCTGTCATCACTTACTCACCTCATATCATTCCAAACCCATAAGACTTTTGTTCATCTTTGAAACATAAATGAACTTTCAAACGGATGAAAAGAAATTTCTTAAAGTGCCCCTATTATGCCATTTTTACGGTTCCTAATATTGTTTTGGGAGTCTCCTACAATATGATTACATGCATGCAAGGTCAAAAAACGCTTTCGTTTTCTCAAAATATGCATTTAATATTACCTCATTTTCCAGCGATTCTCAAACGATTCGTTCGAAGCATTTAAAAGATTCAGTCTCTCTAAACCCCTCCTTTCCGTGAGCCTGCTCTGCTCTGATTGGTCAGA